ATACTCTCGAGGTTTCTCCAGTCTCCTTTAGGCCTCTTATATACTTTTTACCAATTTTTTAATCAAAGGACTTGGGCCCCACTGTAATAGACAGAGTAAGCCAACTTTTTTCTGAGAAGGACACATGACTAAGAAGTGCTCTGTTAACATTGGTAACACTGAAAGCCCTGCATCCTTCCAGGACTATTTCTGTGTACCCCTGGGGCGATGCATAGCACAGATCTGGTTCAAACTTTTGTTTTTTGATTTAGGAGACTGAAGTTCAAGAATATTAAGTGACTTGTCTGATATCAAGTAACAAGTTAGTACAGTTAAGAAGCAAGTCCTGGTCTCAGGAATACCAGCCTAGTCCTTTCCACTGTACCCCCTAGCATCTGTTGTCTGAGCTTCTGCCCACTCATCCTTTTTGTCTACAGTCAGCACCCACTACATCCCAGCTTATGTAGGTTGACTCTGCCTTCTTGTCATTCTTACTTTTAGTCTTCAGGTCTCATCTCTGACTCTGTGCTCCATCTGTCCCATATGTACAAGGAAACCCCATTCCTTTTCTCTACCGAAGCCTATCGTCTTTCCGTGTATAATTAAGCTCCAGAACTCCTTCGACCCAGGCAGTATTTCGGGTGTGATCTCCACTGCTGCTGCCTACATCTTTGGCTAAAGGAATCAGTTAACCCTAGAAGCCATTCATAAATGTTCAGTTATCTTTTAGGAAAGCCCAACCTGTCTCCTCTAAGAAGCGTTCCCCCAATCAGCCTTTCTTCATCCTCCCCAGTCTCTCAGAAACGACTTCTGCAGTTATCGCAGTTGTCTATTTTCTGGCTTTAAAATGTACTCACAGTCAGATAGACTAAGAGCACTCTTGTGGAGTCAGGCAGGTTTGTCTTTGGCCTTCTTCTGTGTCTTTTACAGCATTGTGTTTCTTTCTCCTTGGTCCTCGTATGTCTCAGTTTTTGTTATGGTGGTTTCTTTTTGTTGTTGTTTGGTTTGATTTGCCTTTGGAAGAAATATTTCTAAACATTGTAAGGGCACCCACAATCAGAGTCTCCCTTCATGCTTTTTTTACCTTCTCTCCTTGTCTTCATCTCTAACTTAGGATTCTGGTCATCAACATGATGACAAACCCAAGTTGTAGTTCTAGTCTTGTAATTTTCATAAGCATAAATTCTAGAACGATAAAACTAAGACCAAGACAAAGCATTTTTGGTCTTAGAAAGTTCCAGAATCCTGTAACTTTCTTTTTCCTAAAGAGCACTTTATTGTAGAATTCTATCTAGAGAGCAGAGGTGGATCCTTTGAAGAGAGAGATATATCCCTTTTCCTGTGATACGTCAGGGTTAGTGTGGAGGAGTAGGTTGGCAGTAACTCAGGAACCAGGGAATTTGCCTGCCTCTGCCTGGCCAAGCTGGTGGCAGCTTTTTCTAGAGAGCCCGGAGGAAGGGAGTGGCAGCCACCAGCCTGGGCCAACTAAGATCAGTCTGTGGGCAGCCTCTGATGCATATGAGACTAGCCTCTCATCTAGAGGATTTAGGGTAAAAACCACATGAGAAAGATGCTTCTTGCCAGAAATACACTGTTAACTGGCCTATAAAACGTATGTAAGGAGCCCGGTGGTGCAGTGGTTAAACACTCAGCTGCTAACTGAAAGGTCTGCTCTTCAAACCTGCCAGTCCCTCTGGGAGAAGAGGGTTGTGATCTGCTCCCATAAAGACTGCAGCCTAGGAAACCCTGTGGGGCAGTTCTGCAGAGTCACACAGGGTCACTATGAGTCAGAATCAACTCAACAGAACACAACAGCAACGAAATGTATGTTGGGATGCTGAAATTAATGCCACATTTATTTTTATTTGTGTTTTTTATTGTTGTGCTTTAAGTGAAAGTTTACAATTCAAGTTAGTCTCTCATACAAAAAATTTATACATATATTGTTATGTGACCCTGATTGCTCTCTCTCTACTGTGACAGCACACTACTCCTTTCCACCCTGCAATTCCTGTGTCCTTAATGCCATATTTGCCTATAGATTTATCTTTCAGCATCCCTCTGAGAACTTTGTTCCAGACACACCCTGTCCAATAGATAAAGAAGTTGTAAATTTTGCTGACTGCTTTGTTTAAACCATGCTTGGTCATTCATTCCCGTAAGCTCTGGAATGTGATTTATTGTTTCTGTATTGCCATTTTCACGTGTTTGAAGTAAAATTAGTTTTATTACAAATTAAAATATTTCTCTTCTCAAGCATATGCCAACACAGCATTTTTGGAAATTTGTAAATTTGTGTTATTTCTCTGTTCATCTATGTTAGCTATTAAAGGCAGAGTTAATATTTTTATTATCATTTAAAAAATTGAATATACTTACTTCAAGATAATGTGTAAGTTTCCTTATATCCATAAATGTAATAAATGTATTAATTAGCTAAATATCTAACTTAACTACACACAATACCTAGGTTGATTGTGCAATTACCATTTCTGCAGAGAAATTAGACTTAAATGATGTCAACTACCTTAAAACATTATTATATTAAATGTGCTATATTTATTTGCAGGAGCTGTGTTTTTGTTACAGATATTTTTTATTGGACTTTTCTTTTTCTCATAGTTTAAATTTTGAGCATTTAACCGAGTTGCTGCGTGAGACTATCTATATGTACCCTGGCATAAGACTTTTAATATCAAGGTTAGAGAAAAAATCCGCTTCTCTTAATCTCTGTGAAGGTACTGGCTGATCCACAATTTAAGGAGATAGTATGTTTTAAAATAGCTCCTAATAGATGGTGGCATCCTCTAATGTTATTATTTATGGAAAATAGTTTACATCTTTACGGTTTTGTTGTTATCTTTAAATAAAATTTATTTGCCCCCAGGGCGGTACAGAGATAACCTTAGTTTTTAGGGGAAAAATCCAGAGGCAAAAAGAATCCAAAAAAAAAAAGAACTATCGTGGGTGCAGTGGAGTTTAGAAACAATTTGTTATCTTTGGCACGTAGTTATGAACAGGGCTAGGAGGAGGGCAGAGGGCAGGACTGCACTTCCGCCCTTCCAGGGCTTGCTTGCTAAGCCCCTTACTTGGAGTGGGGCAGGGACCACTTGGACATCACTGGGCTGAGGTACAGTTCCAGCAGAGTTGGAAGTCTCCTCTGTGAATCAGGGCGCACTGGAAAGCCAAAACCCCACATCCGCTGTAACTCAGTCTATCTGTCTGCCTCCTATTTTATCTCTGAAGGTGATGTCTCCACCAACATTGTGTCATTCTGGAGTATATCCTCTGTTAGTAGTGCTGCTGCTGTGCCATACATCACATTCTCAAAAGGCCGTACATCCTAACACTGTATTCTCTTCCTCGGAACACTCGGTGAAGGGGATGCGTGTTTGCACCTGAGTGTTGAGGCTAACAGGCAGGTGGAGTAGTGTCAGTGCCCTGCCCTGTCTGGAGTTCTTTTACAAGTGAATGACTGAGACCCATTGAAGCAGAGGATTTCTGCCTTATAGTCCCAGCTTGATTTTCTGTCTCAGTTTATTTTCTTATGCCACCCTGACTCAGAAAATGCTTCTAAAGAGGGAATTTAAAAGTCTGTCCCAGATGAAACACTTTCAGAAAACCTCTTTATTATAAGAATACTCAGCCAGAAAGGATTAAAATGAGATGCAGCAGGATTTCTTCCCACCGTGGCCAACTTTCCTGCTTTTATTGTTTATGAATTACTTAAGTTTCTGGAAGCTTCCACTTGGAATCAGTTATCTTTCCCCATTCCCAAAGAAGTGAGGGTTTTTTTTTGGTAGTGGATTATTTTTTCTTTCTTTTGCTAACTTTGGCTCTTGTTTTCATTAGGAGATGAAAGCATGGAAATTAAAAAACAAATTACAGGAATGAGAAGATTACTGAATGACAGTACTGGGAGGATATATCAGCGTGTTGGCAAGGAAGGAGAAAAATTAAAAGAAGAGCCCCAGGATTCGGATTTAATCTGGCCTCAGCGCTTGAACTCCTCTGCTGAGGCCCCGCAGAGCCTCCGCCCTTCTTCAGGTGGTACGTGGAATGAATTACCATCCCAAAGCAGGCAGTTCTCGGGACAGTATGGCACCCGCTCTAGAACCTTCCAGAGTCAGTCCCACACCGCTGGAAGCTCCAATGGTATGCCTGTCATCAGACATTAAGAATACACTTGGGGGTTTGTCCCGAATGTATTTTCTTTCTAAATATTCAGCTTGTTCTTTGAGTTCAATACAATATGTTAAACTCTCTTAATCACCTGTCTTACGTGACCTATTTTAATAGACAGAGAAAACATAAAGGAAAAAGTCAAAGAGTGTAAAACACCAGACTTGAGAATCAGGAAAGACTAGGGGACCTATATTAGACCTATATATATAAGATTTCTTAGTAGAGAGTTTAGCCCTTTCAGAAGTTAAGTTGTCATTTGCCAATTTACAGATACTGCCACACAGGACTGAACATCAGGGCAGAAAGAGCTCCCCGTTGTCATTAAAAGAGTCGTCCTGGTTGTGTGGTATATTATTAATATAGTCTCTTGCTTAGTCTTTACTTTGTTTCATCATAAGAAGAAGTTAAAGGGAAGACTTATATGGTCCTGAGTGGCGCCTTTACTTTAACCTCACACTCCAGCTACTGAACCAAATGATCTATATTTTATAACTTTCTTAATTAGCATTGAAAGCTATTCCTTTCAAGTCAAATGCCTTAATTTAGATTCCTAATTGTTAAGAAAATATCAAATGGCAATTTTTTTCATAGCTTAAGGAAGAAATGGAGCCCTGGTGGCCCAGTGGTTAACAGCTCAGGTTGTTGACCAAAAGGTCAGCAGTTCAAATCCACTAGCCACTCCTTGGAAACCCTATGGGGCAATTCTCTATCCTTTAGGGTAGCTGTGAGTCAGAATTGAGTCGACTGCAGCGGGTTTTAAGGAAGAAATTGATAATTTTTCTGATCATGTTAAATTTCCATTCAGTGGTATTGGATTTTATTTGTCCTATCAATTATGTATAGATGCTCAGATCTATAGTTTTCACAAAGAGAATAAGAATGTACTTAGCAGGAACGTGCATCTCAGTTTCCTTAAAAAATTAAGGATTTTTTCCATTCATTTTTATTTCACAGTATTCTTTCAGAAAAAGAAAACTGTTTTGATTTTTTAAAAAAACACAATTTGCAGTAACCAGCTCAAAGACTTGAAAAGCCATCCTGAGACACTGCTGATGTGACAGCAAGAGACCCCAAGAGATGTACGGGTGTCTTGTCTTTCCCTCAATATTACATAAGCCAATATCAAATTCACAGGCTGGCATGCTTCCAGGTCAGAAGGAGATGGCTCTTTAAAGACTCCTCCATAAAAAAAAAAAAGTCTGTTCTCTTTAAAATTAGAAAATGATTTATAACAAGTTGAAAAGGATTGGCTTTATCCTCTAAAAATGATAAAAAAAAAAATAGTGCTTCGAACAGTGACTGGGGATATTCTATAAGGCCCTTCTAACTCTACTGCCATGGAAGAAATGATATGAAAATAAAGTATCTTAATATATACATGTGGAGCCCTGGTGACACAGTGGTTAAGAGCTTGGCTGCTAACCAAAAGGTTGACAGTCCAAATCCACTGGACACTCCTTGGAAATCCTGTGGGGCAGTTCTGCTCTGTCCTGTACAGTCGCTGTGAGTTGGAACTGACTCGATGACACCTAGCAATAACAACAACAATATATGTATAATGTTAGTAGACCCCATAGCAGTAAGTTTTGGGTAAACAGTGTTCTGTTTTCCAGTTCACAACAAGGATGGTGAATTTACTTTGGAAAATGTTACTAAGGTTAATAAAAGTTACAAATATAAATTCCCCCATATTATTCTGAAAATAGATCTTTTTTTGTTTATTGCTTGCATATTTTCAATAGAAGTGCATTACATATAATGGTAATTACTTTGATAATCCATTGAAATTTGCAGTTTTAAAGTTGTAACCTCAGTTTGCTACAATTTTTAGTTTAAATAATTGTGCTATTGCAAACATTATCTTCAAGTATTTCATGGTTTTGCTGTGGCAATTTTTTTTCATAGTATCCGCTATGAAAATGTGGATACCATAATGCGTAATGTATAATGCATATTATAGGATTTAAATAACATTTAATGTATAATAAAAGATATAATTGGAACAGAACCCTAGAACTTATACCTCTTTCACTTATGAGAAGACATGATAGCAGTCTCTTAAACTGATTCATTTTTGGATAACAAGCGATGAATGTTGATGCTAGAGGAATCCTATAGGAGTGATTTTCTAAATGTACCATTTTATTCTAAGAACAATAGGAAGATGTTTGTTTACATATATGATAAAATAGAATACTTTTATTCAAGAAAAGAGATTACATTTTAAAAATGAAAAAGACTAAGGTGACAGAAAAGTAAGAAATGGGAATGAATAAAAGATGTAAGATCTCCTTTATTAAGTTGGAGAAGTGCCAGCACACCAACTCCCTCTCACCTATCAGGTTAAAAAATACCCTCCCATACCCCATTCCCAGTTCTTTCCCTTACCCCAAACATACCACACCCAGAGAATATTCTAAAAATTTTAGTTGTGTTCACAGTTCTTAATTTCTGAAATATCATGCTTAATATTAAAAACTGTTTTTTAATAGTTAGACTCTGATTTAATTCTTAATATGAACTCTTATAACGTACGCAACTACCGATTTTTTTGTAAGGCTGTTCTCAGAGCTTGTTTTTTGTGCATAATAGCATGCGCGTGTTTATAGTGAATTTTTATGGTATTGTTATCTGAGGTGAAACTGGTCTGACAATAAGGAGGCCTGCTGAGACAGTGCATTGTGTTCATATGTTCATGCAGGCCCCACCACCTCGTGAAATAGCAGGCACCTCACAATATAGAAGCTTGCATAATTCGATAAAGTCAGACCCCAGAATTTAAGTTTTGAAAATTATTGGGTACATATTCCTTAGGCACAGTTTCTTAATAATTACATATGCTTCAAAATCCTATCAAGATACAGTCTTTTTTCCCCCCCTTTATATATTGTTTTTTGTTTGGAGTATGTCATTCTTTTCTTTCATGCTTAGGAGAACTTCCAGTGGTGAATTCATCAGGTGAATCAAACTGCTGTACTTGTAACTGCCAGTCAACGTTGCAGGCCATTCTCCAAGAACTCAAAACCATGAGGAAATTAATGCAAATTCAAGCAGGTACAAAGATCAGACCTTGGAACTAGTCCTTTGATTTTTAATGTATATCTGACATCTTCAGTTGGGACATTTACCGTGCTTTTATTATTTAGTTCTTCTCGCCTTGCTGTCTTGCTGTGCTCTTTCAAGCATCCATTTTCTCAGCTTTTTCTTTCAACCCATTTTTCCTTTAGGAAATCAAACAAGTTTTTTATTGCCAATAATACTACATATACTGAATATACTTTATCCCATGATCTAGTACTTTACAAGTGTCAGCTAATTAAATTTTGGAAGAATTATACACGAGGCTAGGCAGAGTTTTTGAGTTCATTTTCCTATGTGAACCAACAGTAAGGTTCACATCAGGAGAGAAAATGAAGACGACTCATTGCCTTATATCCTGAGGTGCTCAAGTTGGGGGCTGTGTGTATTTGGACAACCCCTCCTACTGCCCAAGTCATTTTGGGGGCTTGGTGGGATGTTTGGGATGCCACCCATTTTTAATACATTTGGAGGAGCCCCTTAGTAGGAAGTGTGGGCTCCACTGTTGAACATATTCAAGAACATAAGCAGACAAGACATGTCAGACCTTACCTCAGGCTCTGCTTGTGGTTTTTCAGGATATAGAAGATATATTGTTGATAACTCAAAGACACCTCATGTTTTGTCTTCTTTATTTACATGACTTTTTTTTTTCTTATTACTGTTAGACAAGTTGAAGAACAAAAGAGTAATGAATTTGTAGTTTGCAATTGGAGTCCCAGTTCCTTCTCTTACAGCTGGATGATTTATCTGAGCCTCAGATTTCTCATCTGTAAATGAGGCATTAATATTGAACTCACAGGGTTGTTTTGAAAATAAAATGAGATAGTAAATGTAAATAGACTTTATAAAGCATTATGTAAACGTAAGCTGTTTCATTAATGATGTTATAAAGACCGCAGAGCATTGCATGAAAATCTGGAAGTCTTAAGTCTTCATTATAGTGACTGTATTTTCTAGTCTTCACAATTAGGAAAAAAGTAAATTTTCTTTTTTTTTGGCCACAGGTACAGGAAAACAATAAATCAAGTTACCATCCTATCCCTCTTGTCAGGCAAAATTGTTATTTGATTGTAGCCTAAAGCAGGAAAATAGACAACACAGTCATATTATGACAGGCATTCTTACCATTTCACCATAATGATATTCAGGAAGGTCATCATTCAGAAATTGTTCTTGGTGCCATTTCATGAATTCTAGTAAAATTCTAATATTCAACGATGTGATTTTGATATAAAAAGATTAATACTTAAGCATATCTGTCACCCAAGATCACATTAAAGTAAGGTGAGCAAAAGGCTCTCTGAAAAGCAACATCTCTTTAAGTACTGAATTTGGTTTTATCCCAAGGGAAAAGAAGCATTTTACTCAGGTCAGTAAGCATCTGACTCACCTTGTTCCACCACAATAATCTGTGTTCTTATTAAGCTGGCAAAGGTTAACATTTCCTAAATAAGGAGCTCAGAGAGAAAGGTTATTATGTTTGGATTCTTTTCTCAAAGAAGAATTTGTTAGCACTTAAGAAAATATGCACATGAAATTGTAATGATTTACTTTGTTGTTTAAGCTCCTTACTACTGAAATGGCAAACTACAAATTGGAACCCTTTAAATCCCTGACTGAAACCTTTTTAGAATCTATTAAGTAAATGCCACTTTGTCACCATGTTTTCTTCTCTGAACCTCTGCAGATTAGGACAGTAAACTATTCCAAAGCTGTAGGATAGCATAAAGGATAAAACTGCATAAATTACTCTTCTTTAATTTTCTTAAACTTATAAGTTTGTTTTATGTGGGCAGATTTACTTAAGGTTTATTGCCTATAAGACTTAGATTTAAATTATACTTAGAATGTTTCACCTTTACGTTAGGGAGAAGGCAAGGAATAAATTCAAGCAATAAGATCTGAATATAAGAGACTAAGGCTGTATCTAGACTTGAAGGAGACCAAAAACTCAGATAGTCCCTGTGTTCTTTGAGCCAAACACATTTTCACTTTTAATTTAGATTAGTGAGTTGTAGAGAGACTTGTGTTTTAGGCCATCTTAATAATTGCTTCAGTTATCCATTTGACTTCGGAATGTAGACCTAGCCTTGGGTGAAAATTCAGACAGAACAGAAAAAAGTTCTCAACTCTAACTTTGGCTGTACTTTAAAAGTACTTGAGGAGCTATAAAGAAATACTGGTGCCTGGGCCCCACCCCTGGAAATTCCGATTAAATTAGTCTGGGGTGGAACTGAAGCATTGGAATTTTTTTTTTTTTTTAAGCTCCAGAGTGATTCTGATGTGCAGCCCAGGTTGAGAACCACTGAGCTAGACTACTGCATGAGTAGTTAAACTTTTCTGTGCTCATTTGCAGTGCAAATGGTAGGTTTCGAGTACTTATCTATAAATTGCTTCCCAGTCTGGGGATGAAAATATCAAGTTCAAAGTGTAAATATTCTTTATTTTCAAACTAATAGGACATATAAGTAAGAGGAGGTGATCAATATTTGTGTGCATTTTGTAGACCTTTATGGCTTATAGTTGTATTTCTATAAAAAACAGGCATATCCTGTGGTCGTATTTTGTAAGCTGTACTAGTATTAAAGTTCTAAATAATAATGCTGTATCTTCCTATTAAATTTTCCATGAGAGTGTGTTTAAATGGTTAACAGTGTTACTTCTCAAAGTGCACGTGTGAAAGCTATAATTACTGTCCTTGATTTCTTTTAAGTATATATTCAGTCTTAACCCCAGTACGGTTCTTTTCATCTTTGAAACTCAGACTTTTTCTGAATTTTACTAATTTGCCTGATGACTCCAGAACCATATTATTCCTAATTTTCAGCCACATAAACTGAGGTACAGAAAAGTGGCCTGGCCTGAAACCATGTAACATAGTACTGTGGATATAGTCGATGTGTGGGGGATATTTTTGGTGGTGAAGGAGTTACTGGACTTGATGAGTGAATAACAGGCTTTCTTCATAGGCTTACTGGTACCTACTGCAGACTCATTCCAAACTGTTTCTTTTGATCAGACTTTCCCAAATGATCACCATTTCTCAGTCATTGTCAGTTTTGACACCTGTAGATTATTAGCAACTGATCAGTTGAACCTCAAATCACAGTTGAAGTATTCCTGAAATTGGCTTACTAGAGAGCATGGAGGCCTATACTTAAATTCCAGAGTTCTCATTTGTCTTAAAATGTCATAGAATTTCTAAAATCATACTAAAATGTTTTTACATAGCTCATAAGCCTCTCCTTGCATTGAATCCAGTAGTAGCAGTATCTGTAATTATTCACCAGTGTCTGAAGCAAAGTTTTCTCTTGGGTATTTTTTGCCTTTAAATCTTAAAAGTGCTCCAGAGCCAGCATTTGGTAACATTTTGGTCCAGTATGAAATTTGTGAGTGAACCTCATTTGAGTTTCAGTTTATCAAGCATGTAGGTAGACGGGTGATAAGTTTTCCAAAGTTAGACACAAGTGCCAGTACCGTATTTTTGTTTATTGTTCACAGTTGGAACTCAAAACAGACAACAACCCCCAATTTCCCTTATATGCTCCCAGCGAACTGCTGTCTCACGCAAGAGAAATAAAAAGAAAAAAGTTCCCCCAAAGACTGTTGAACCTCTTACTGTGAAACAGAAGCCCAGTGTGTTAGAAACTGAAAAGAAGACAACAGTGGCCTCTGAGCAGTCTGATCTCCAAGCAGCCGAGCACATCTCCACTGAGGAGAACCACGTTTTAGGATTTGGCATTGTTCTTGAATCACCTTCCTCAGATGTAAGTTGATATTTTATGGCTGCAGACTCTAATGTGATGTAACTTTCAGGAATTTATAGTATTAAGACGTTTTCCCCTTAACTAGTTCTGCCCAAGAAGACTAGAGACACTTGCAGAGTACATGTGGGAGAGAGGAAAGGAAGACTACTAATAATTCCCTTGCTTGGAATTTTCTTTTCCTACAAGGTTATGCCTTATTTGTTTAAACATGTTTCTGTTTGTTATTTCTGAAGGAAGCAGAGTGACAGAGTAAACAATCTTCTCACTAATTTCTTCAACATTTTAAATTTTGAAGTGGCAGTTTTCAGTTTCCTCAGCGTGGAGAACTAAAAGAACATAATTAAAACCTTTGTAGATGGGAATAAGTGAACAGAACCATACAGATAAGGTCACACCTTTCTAGAAACACAAACTAATAATAAAAAAGGAGCAGTAGTGCTAATTCTGTTTTATAGATGCAAGCTACACTGCTAATTAGGTTGCAGTGCTATGCCATTTACTCTGTGTAATGATAGGTTAACACTGCAAAGGATTTTCTATTTTAATATTATAGCTAGAATGTCATTGAAGTCAAAGATGTTGGATGATGTCTAGATATCCCTCAGACTTGTTATTTTATATTCCTATGACCATAAACTAATTTTTTTAATGATGTGTTATGTTTGTAATTGCATACTATTTACAGTATTTTTATCTAAGTACATTTATGTTGTGAACCCCAACTTGTTGGGGGAGTTCTTAAAATAAACGAGAATGAGTGATCTATTATTATCAGGTTGTACAGGATGACAATCCTGCTGAGAACTCCCACGGGGCTATATAGGAATGGAGTTTGGCCCTACCTTTTAAACTTTAAATAGTAAATAAATTGCTGTTGTTTTTAAAAAGTGCTCCCTTTAAGTTATAGGAAGACAGTTTGCTAACATATATCCACATTGGGTCTTTAATAGAGGGAGGTGACAAAAATAATCATCTTGTGACTTTTAAACTAGAAAATTCATCTGAACTTTCAGCCAGTCTATGGTGTTAAAGGGTATTTTTATCTATGAACACATGCTATTATTGTTAAGAAGTTCTTCAAGACTAAAGACAGTTAATTAAAAAAATCATTAATGATAATGCTCTACCCTGGGCTTGTCAGCTCGTATGATTATATTATTATTGCAACAAAGGCCCTGGTTTCAAACCCCATGTAGCTCACATACTTGGAAGGAGAGAGAAATTATTTCACAACACAGTACAGTCCATCCTCAGCAGCTTTCATAATACTTTTATATTTTCCAAGCATTTTTCTGATAGGTTTTGGTGTATCTGGAGCAATAATTTCAATTGCATAAATCATTTCCCAAATGGACTGATTTACTGGTAATGACTGAACTTTTCCTTTTTAAAAAAAAAAATTTTTATTTTTAAGCTCCAAATGCACATAGATGAGGAAGATCTGAAAAAGGCCTATGTATGTTAGTGAAATATTTGGAATCAAATAGAATATTATTATCTTTACCAGTATTAGTATTACAGTTTTATTTTTATACCATACCAAAAATAGTTTACTTTTTATTCATGATTATTTTTGCTAACAAGAGCTATTAAATTTGATAAAACACATTCAGAATTGTTCGTGAAAACTCAGTTAGATACTGATTGTCTTTGACTGAAAAATAATATGCTTCTAAAGAAAAAACAAAAAATGTGGATATTATCTTTACATTATTCAGCTGATACACCAGTTGATTCATCTATTCAACAATAACTATAGCTGCCCCTAGAGAACCATTCATTGAGTACAATCGGTAGATGAGGAAATTCTCAATGGACACTATACACTGGCATTAATGCAGCTGGTCTGCGAAGTCCGTTAGGGTGGGTGGGAGACTGACTCCCTAAGGGATAGGACCATCAATGCTAAGGCATCCAAATTTAGGTGCTTTTCTAGTGTTTTATGATTTCTTAGCCATCAGCCTTTTAAAATTCAGTGAAAGTCCAGAGGAGAAAGCAGAAAATTAATAATCTTATAGGAATTATTCCATAAAACAAATTGGAGAAAATACAAGTGGATGAGAATTGTGTCTTTGAAGATGGGTTCTAGAAAGTACCCAGCATTGGGAAGATGAGGTCCAAAGTTGTAGGTTTGGGCAAGTGGTCCAGTTTTGCTAAAACAGCTGTCTGGCTGGGATTGGTAGCAGGTAATGATATCAAAGTAGGATGGGGCCAGATAGTGAAAGCCCTCATGTATCATGCTGAAGCCTTGGGCCTTTATTGTGTAGACACTAAAGAGTCATGGCAGGTTTCAAGTAGAGGAATAATCATACCTGTATTTTCGAATGGTAGCTGGAATAGCAGTGCTGATGATAGGTAGAGAGAGGAGATACTAGAGATAAACCCAGGAGGAATATAATTATAGTCAACCAGGCAAGAGTGTTGAACGGTCTGTACAAGGGCAGTGAGCCTGAAGAGAAAGAGAAACAAGAGATATGTAGGAGGTACCGACATAGAGAACTTGGTATAGAAAGTAAAACTAGGTTGGTTACAAGATGGTAGTGATTTCCTTAACTGAAATAGAGGAAGCAAGAGCAGAAGCCGGTTTTCAGTTCTGGATGAGAAATAAAAGTTAAGTGTGCTGTCCTCAAAATGTTCATTGGACATTGGAGCACAGGACAAAGATTAGAGTTAGAAACAATGGGAAGATGACATACAAAACATATACTTTATTGCTTTCTAAGTATAAAAATTTTACTTATTTTTTTTAAATTTATGGTTTATTGTTTTCCTTTCTACACTGTGACTTGTAGTGTCACACGAATAGAGATTTGTGTATCCATGCACAGACATAAACATAAAGGTCCATGTGGGGCTGTAGATCACTGCAGGTGGACCACCCATCTTCTGATCGGTAATGATTATCCCTACTTAAATGCAGTAAAACATTAAACTCTAAGCAAAACCAACTGAAATATCAATACAACCTCAGTATTGTAAGCATTAAAGGATTATGTAATATACGAGAAAATCCTGTGTAGTGCCTGGCACATAAAAGGTGCTCAGTAAATGTTATGTATTTAATCTGCAAATGATAAAATATTTACATTTGCATTAAGCACAATATATAAAATAAAACTTTGAATTTAGAACTTGGCTTTAATTAAAATCCCCTCCTCTGTTTAACTCCGATTTACTTGTTCTTTCCTCTTTACTCCTCTCTCCACCCATCCTCCTCAAGGTTCTAATATGATTTAAGCAATCATCTATTATAGAGCTTTCTAGGCTGTTTTGTAATTATTTACATGATTTCCTATATTTTCACCCAAGTTTCTCAAGGGCAGAGAGTATATAATAATACCTATGTGCTATCCTGTGCTAAATGATTTTTCTCAGCAACTCTGTGAGGTGTTATTATTATCCTCATTTAATAGATGAGGAAATGTGGCATAAAGGCCTTAAGTAGCCTGCCCAAGTTCACACAGCCAGAAAATAGGGGAGCTGGTTCTTAAATCCAGGTCCATTGTCTGCTCTTTTCCATTGTGCTGACAGACTTTTGGGTGTCTGGTCCAGTACAGTTCTTATACATGGTGAATGCTCAGTAAATGTTTGTGGAATGATTGTTGTACAAAAGAGAGCTGAAAGCTTAGACTATGGCTGTTTGTTCTGTTTACTTGAAAGTTTCTTGGGGAGAATTAATAGTTAAGAGTGCAGGTTGTGTAAGAGTGCAGGTTCTGAGGTCATATTGCCTGGGTTAGAATCTCAGCTGTATGAACTTGAGCTAGTAAACCTAACTCTCCTGACTCAGTTTTCTCTCTGTTAAATGGGGATTAAAAATAGCACTTACATCATAGAGTTGGCCTGTTGGAAGAATTAAATGAATTAATCTGTGCAAAGCACTTAAACAAGTGCCTGGCCCATTTTAAGCACTCAGTAAATTTTGGTTCTTTTTTTAACCTTAGTAGCCCTAGCTAAGTAATCTTTATAGGGACAAATATAAATATCTGTTAAATAAACAATGTATATGTATGAATGGGAGCCCTAGTGGCACAGTGGTTAAGAGCTTGGCCGGTAACCAAAAGGTTGGCAGTTCAAATCCACCATCTGCTCCTTGGAAACCCCATGGGGCAGTTCTACTCTATCCATAGGGTTGCGATGAGTCAGAATTGAGTAGATGGCAATGAGTTTGGTTGAGTTTTTTTTATGTATGAATGAGCAAATACATATACATGGTTTATTTATTTATTTTTAATAGTATTTTTAAAAGAGGAGTGGCCAGAAGTGTTTCTCTTTTGGAGTAGGATTATTTGACCCATTTTAAATTAGCACATTAAATAAAATTTCAAGCCTAAATTGCACAGAAGCAAAAGCAGAAAGCCAAAACCAAATTTCAGATTTAAATACAGCGTTTAATTAGTTCTTCATGAGTTCACAACCCAGTACTCTACCTGTACTCAGACAACATAGTTGTTAATTTTTTACAGTCACTATCTCTTCCTACTTAGTTGAATAGATTGATTTGTGTTTTTCAGGGCATGCATACATGGACCTAAGTTTTTTTTTTTTTTTTTGCAGTTGCTGTTTTTTGTTTGGTTTGTTTTCTGGCTTTGATGAAAGACTCAGACCAGTTTTAAAAAATCTTTTTATAATAATTTTTAAAGTACAAAATGTTTTTCTAATTGTTGTAGTAACTACAATAATTGTATATTTTCCAGTAATCCCAGACTACACAGATTTTAAAATTATCAGAAAATAAATCAGTCAAAGATGATTTTGTCAGTATTTATTTTGTATCTTTTCTTTAAATAAATGGTTGATAATGCATTGATGCTTTCAACAGAAATAACTTCTGAATTTACATCTGTTTCCATAATACCTTCTTAGCCCAGTAAAGTAATTCATTGGAAACTAATAAATCAGGCAAGCAAACACTTTTTCATTTATTTATTAACACATTGAAATTGAAGCACTATATGCTTGAGATGGTAAGTTCTAGTGCAGACTACTTTGGTTCACATCTT